AAGTTTATCTTAAAAGATTGACGTCGTGAGGTGTTGCTGCGTCGATAAAGGAGATTTCTCATCAACAGATTTCAAGAGAAGATAGATATAGGAACGACTATTTGCCTTCCACGTCCTTCTGATTAAATTCGAGCGTGAACGCTTGAACTACGAACAGATGAAATATTAGAACATGTCATGATGGGATAAATTTAAAATGCATAAGAACAACTTTATAGGTGAGGCAAGAGATTCGCTTTGTCGTAACTTTCTCTCACCGGCCATTTTGAGCGCTTTGGTTGACTCATTTTGTATCCCAAATGGACTAACTTTTGTGTTCGATGCGTAGCGATTAAACAGATCATGGATTTGGGCAGTTCTCATCTTGGTTAGTTTGTCATGTTGCACATGAGTTAGATCCAGATCATACAAGCTATGCACATATTTACCATCTGTAAACGTGCAGTTCCCAAACATTTCAGGCGATCGACATCACAGTTCTGGACTATACTGGTATGTAAGCATCGCTAATCTTAGATGAGCATGACAACAGCTAAGGAGTACAGAAGCAGTCTGTGAACACAGGCAAGTCTCACTTTTCGGGTCACCGCTTTCCACCGGAATGATGTCATGATATTAATCGTTTTATTAAATGCTGCAACTTAGCCCTATTCGCGACGATTTTTAGCCAAAGTGATTTCTGTCCACAGTCATCATTTTAGCCTTTGTCCGATAAAACATTTTCCATCACAACGCAAGCATGATGGATCATGATCTTTTATTCTTGTGTTTGTGTGATGAGATCATAATCAGCCGTTTTCATAAGCAGAACATCTGTGGTTGCGATTCCGCATTATTCACTGTTTTTCAACAATTTGCATCTGACAAACAGATCTTTCAGAGAGGAATATTTCCTTCTGCGATGTAGTAGCTAGTATCTTATAGCAAAATTGTTGTATCTTTTACTAATATCGGAAAGAGGCATAGCTAAAGGCGTTTATCATATCGTCTGCCCTCTGTATGGAAGATGACAATTCATGGGGAAGGCGGATTGAAGGTTCAGATGATACTTTACAGATGTTGTTAGCAAATGGAAAGAAAACAACTTTCATGCAACTTCATTAGTGAAGTCCAGGAATATCTAGCCGAAATTAGAGTATCCTATATTCATCAATGAATGATGAATAATGTGTAACTCATTCATTTGTCACTCTTTTTTGCAGTTCTGTTGGAGGCTCACGGTTAAGTTCACTTAGTACTCCGGACAGTAAAAGTATTCAATACTAAGCTGAACTGAACGCTAGCAGTTTGCTAGCAAGCCCATAATACCGGGGTTAATTTAGGTCAGCTGAATTCACTTCTGAGATTCTGGTGAACACCTGATCGCGCGAACGTTTCCTTGTTGGCTGTAGGCGTTCTTGTCCTGGTCTAATTCCAGAGTAGTTCAGTCGATGGAGCGCCAAATTCGACATCAAATAAGTGCAATTTCGGCGCATAACGGCCGGGAAACTTGGCCGTCATCCGAGTTGCATATTTTACTTCGTTGGAAGCAAACGGGAGGCTAAAACCTACACATTGTACTGGCTTTCTAGCTGTAGCGTCGTAGATATTGTCTTTTAAAAATGGAGCACTTGACTGGTGGCGTCTAAACAGAGATTAGCGCTGCACCATGAGTTCCTCAAAACGCACCTGAAATGAAACTGAAGGGGTGCCACCTACGATCTGGTTTATACAAACTGTCATTTTCTCTTTTGTTCTGATTCAACTTTGTGGTTCGTCAAAGACCCATGCCTATTCTTATTGCTGGATTAGCGACATGTCAATATTCTACTATGTTGAAGAAGTGGTGATATGGAATAATCTAGCTAGGCTCACTTTGCGGTTTGCAATGCCTCATTTTCTCCATTGAATATTGTTAGGCAAAAAAAGACACCGTTATATAAGTAACATTTGATTTTTCAAGTGACGTCATTATAGCAGTTTCGTACAACGCAGATTACCTGACCGTTGCTGATGACTGTGCTATCGAAAGCTGCATGGAAGGATAATAGTCTCGAAGGAAACAGGAAAAATTTCGGACATGAATGGCTACTCAGCCATTTTAGCCATGGAATGAGCAGTTTTTAACGCGTTTTTGACAGGTAAAATCTGATATACCGCAATTTCTTGCGTCAGACATAGTAAGCAGTTAAACGGCGCTAAATGGAATTTTGACTTTCCCTAATCCAAGGGGCGTTCCCCTCTTGGAAACAGACAAAAGTACGGCTTTAAATGGCTAGGAAAATGTGGTTAAGCCTATAGCCCTTGGCTGTTACGATAGCTATGAGCGCCTGTCATGAGCCCTGCAACGATTAGCTATCGAAACTTGGGATTAGTCTTCATGCTTTTTAAGAAACTTCTGCCTAAGAGTTACATC